TATACTATCTTATTAGAAAGAAAAGAAATTCCTCTCATTTTGTTGTTCGACAAAGACATGATGACCAGTGAGTCTATGCATTCAATCAACAACGAAGATAACAGATAACACTATATAAATAAATTTCAATTGTCTTAAGCTAAATTTATTTTTAAATATCAATATTGATGATGTTAATTTATGCTTAAATTTAAACTATGCAAAATTTAACTTATTTCAAACTTGATTACTGATGATGTAAAGTTATTTAAGTTAATAGGAAAATGACAAACCTAAGATCTTGCTGCTTCCACATCCATCTATGCCCACACCCACACCCTTTAAAACCACGAATCCTCATCCACATCCATACGCTTTGTTATCAAAATTTTACCTTTTTCTTTTCATTAAGAAAAAGAATTTTAATTTTGTCCAGTCAAAACTAAAATTTTAATTCTGACTGATATTCTGTTGGACAAAATCAAAATTTCAATTTTTCCTGGACAAAACTAAAATTTTAATTTTGACTGAGCAAATTTAAAATTTGACTGAATTTTAATTTTGATCACAACATATGTATGTATTTTTGTCGTTCCCTCGGCTGAAGAAAAGGTCATACGAAATAAAATGAGTTTTCTTGTTTGTATGTGTCAGAGTCAACTGCCTAAGACCAGAGATAAAGGATCATGAAGACTAAGTCAGATTAGTGAAGAGTAGTTAAGACGAATTAAGGCTGGTTAGTTTTTAAAAATATTCAAATGAATTTTTTTACTTAAAAATACCGGTCTTTTTCAAAAAAAAAGCAATGTTTTTTTTTATCAAGTTTGACCAAAGATTTTCTGCGCCGAAGAATCCGAATTCATAGGTGGTCTCTCAGAATTTGTAAATTTGATTTTTCAGTCAAGAAAACGTTTCTTTGAAGATGACCGTTTTGCTATAAAATTTGAGTAAATATATTTTCGTTCAATCTTTCTATAAATTCAACTAGATAATCTCTTAATATTATTATTCCACTATATAGTCTTCACTGCCACCAGTAGTCCTTGAAATGTGTGGTAGTAAAATAATAATAAAAGTATTTTAGGAGAAATGATGAAACAAATAGTTCTCACTCTTGATTGAACATAAAAGATCGGAATTTCAAATTCTTTCACACGTGAAATTACGACATTCCTTATATGGAGGTATAGGCTAATTCGATACCGTATGAACTCGACACTGAATTATTTTAGTTTTGAAGCATAGAGTGCCTCCCAGAATGTGATGAAGGGTGTGACTGTGACTGCGAATGTTTATCGTCTCTTCATTCATAACCATAACGATACCTACATCCACACCCCACACGTCATCACACACCCACACCCACATCCATAATAGGTTTCACTTCGTTCTATTTATTAATCTTAATTAACAGATATTATAATTTCTTTAACATAACAATAATATCAACCTGTGTTATTTGTTAATCTTTCACTAGATTTCATATTTATTTTAATTTTTTTTTTTGAGTCCTTAATTGTGGTTTACCTGGTTTACTGTCCGTTGATTGCTTTTCAATTTTAATTAGTTTTTTTTCTGGAAAAGTATAACTTTTGCTGTTGAGCATTTATCGTCCGTTGAGTACATACAAAAATCTTTTCAATTAGTGTTTTACTTGTGTGAGGATTTATTGTTCATTGATTATTTCGAACAAGGGAAATGAACAAAATAGTCATTTCAATTATACGTGTATTGTAGGCAAAAAAGAATTCTAATAAATATATGAATAAAATAAAATTTCTCTAATCAATGAATAGTAAATGGTGCACACGTTTAATTAGGTATCCTTGCTCATCGTTTCGGTTTCTTTATAAAGCAATCTCAAAACAAATGTTCTTTTATAAAAGAAAAATGACTTTAAAAAAAAATTTCCTTTATTCTATAGAATTATAATATCTTTATTATTTATTTTTTTCAGTCACGAAAACACTCTCTATCATCATGGACATTTACATCTGATATAATTTTAATGGATTATTTGGAAAAACAAGAAGTTTCATTTTCTGAAAAGTAAATTTTCATATGATTGATTAGCCTTTTCTTGATGCTAAACAAAGAAAATTGTTTTTTTCTTTGCATAATTTGCTAATATATTTTTTTCTTTAACAACTTTGATTTTCAATGAATAACGTTTCGTTGTTGCTTTAACATACAAAACCAAATTCAAAACAGTTTCACTTAATTCATCTTGAAAAATTCTTACGATTCTTTTACAAAAAGAAGTTTCAATACAACAGAACAAAGAAATATTCGAAGTTTTATTTTATTATAACCATACAAAAAGTGTATCTCCATGTGTCGTGTTAGGAATTTCTGTTCGAAAAGAACGGATAATTGAATTCTGTGGATCTCGTCATTTTTTCTCATAAAGTTTACCATATTTAATACAACCACTAATTGTGAGAAAATTTAACTTTGAAAGACCATTGATAAGTATATGTGACATTTGAATGAGTTGATAGTTATTACCATCTAGTTCGATGACTTGCAAATGTGGTAATCGTTCGACAGTTAAATAGGCAATATTTATCAAATTTGGTTGATTCCAAAAAGTAAAAAGATTGAGTTGTCGTAATCCATTTGACATAAGCATATTGCACAACGAAGCTTCCTTAAGAAGATCAATTAATGTTTCCTCTTTTAAATCAATTTTACTATTATACTCTGATTTGTAATGCAGTTCTAGAGTACGTAGATTAGTCAGTTGTGAAAAGAGAAAGTGAAGATGAATTGAATTGAATGGTTGAGCAATATTAAATGATGTGACTTGGTGCAAAGGAACGATAGGTGGTGACAAAGAAAGAAACTCATGATTGATTTGATCATAATTGTCACTCATAAGAATCGTATTGCATCGAAGCAACTGACTGTTCAAGGCACGTTTATCATATGACCATCGACTGTGTCTAAATACAAAAAAAAATGTTCATTATTAAAGAAAAAGCTGTCTATTTTATACCCATGCACACTATTATGTAGATAAGAATAGACACATAAATATTTATCCATTCTTGGTAATGTTACAGCTCTAATAGAATACATTTTTTTTTTCGAAAGATAGTTTTAATTCAATTGGCACTGGCCCTTTGAGCTGTTCAAATGTGTCGGATAAGATTTTATTTATTTCTAGTGGTATGATTACAGTTTTCACAAACCAGTTAACATAAAACGAATATAAACATTGACTGGAAAGCATCAATAGTAAATTGTGAAGAACATAGGGACCATTCACTTGTGCCACTAATATGAAGTTCGTTAGTGAAAATAAAACATCACGTTCAAATAATTCAGTAATTGATTTCACAGTCATGATATATTCATTTCATTTTATATTAAGATAACGTAGATTCGGAGCAAGATGTCTATTAATGGGAGTAACTCGGCTAAAATCAATTAAAAAGATTACTTCGCAACGATAAAAAATGCGTCATTCGTATCATTCAGTTTCTTAGTAAAACATATATTTTTCTTTCATTTATCTATTCAAAATCGTACGTCAGTAATCTTTCTATATATAATATTCGACACTTCTCCATTTAAATTATTCTTCTCTATTTGATACAGAAGTGATAGAGATTTTTTAAAGAATATTATTTACAACTATAATTTCTTATCGTTTAATCATATGTCAAAAACATGAAAGAACAAACATTTCATTCAGTTAAAATCTTTCCATAATACAATCGTGTCTATAGTCATACTTATCTCGAAGATTTCCTATCTTTTAAATTGAGTATATCTTCGATATGACTTTTTTTTTCTGATTTTCCACTAAACTACCTGCCTCCTGATTAGTATTTAACAAATATTATATCTGATAAAGTTATGAGAAAAATCCAAAAGAAGTCTCATAATAGAAACAAGACAAATGTTTCAAGACGAGTCTCAGTAAATTTTCTTAAATATTTAACCTCCATTTTAACGACCAATAAGTTTCCGAAATACATTCTCTTTTATTTCAAAGACGTTTCTACCTTCTATGAAAATCTCTATCTTTTTCTAAATCATTCATCTTTGATTTTCTTCGAGACATTTTTCTAAAAGAGTCGATTCGACATTGTCATTCATTTTACAACCTATTTTGACCTTGTCTTTGAAGCTGCTCAATTTTATTTGGGAATACGTTTCGATCTTTTATCATTAATTTGAGTTTAATATATTTAAATCTCAAGTCTTAGATAAACTCTAAGGAAATACAATACAGAGAAATCAAGCGAAGATTTTTCTTTGCAAGAAGAAATCGAAAAATGTCACAATAATAAACTCAAATACTAACGAAGTATATTCAACTTTTTTACTTCTTTCCGTAAGTGGAAAGGTCTAGTCATTACTTAAGAACAATAAAAATATTAACTTTTATCTTAATCTCACCGAAAGTACATGATTTATATCAATCGTTTTTATATGCATTCATCTATATATTGCATATAAGAGCTCACCATTTTGACTGATTTTCTAATATTTTTTTGCCTACATTTCAAAATCTAATATATCACTCATTTGTAACTTATGAATCGTCTGACATCTTTTCGCTATTATGAATATTCGGCTCTAAAATTGAATACAAATTATTCAAAATTTATATTGTCAGTTCACAGATAATTCAATTTTAACTACAATTTCTGATAAAATGATTAGATACATTCTCTTCTCCCATATACTTTACATTAAGTTCATAAATTAATATATATCAGAAAGAAACTTACTTGTTATGACCGCGTTCTAGTGGATGTTTAAAAGGTAGGCCAAGGAGCACTCCGTTCAAAACTGAGCTTTTCCAATTGTGGATGATGCTCAAATAAATATGATAGAAAGCTTGATGAGCATTGTCGAAGTACAAGTGATTGTAAGTTTAAAAGATTAGTTTGAATAGACATAAAAGTTCTATCAAGTGGTAGAGCGAGTTCAGTGTCTAGAATATAATGTATGTATCGCCAAAAACGCAGATGACATACACGTAATGAAGGAAATAAGTGAAAAATTCATTCATAATATGCACCTTCAGGTACACCTATATACGTATATGCAGCACGATTAGTTGTTGGAAAGTGCATACTAAATATGATGAGAGAATTAATTGATGACAATGAATTGAGAACCATTTCAAAAGAAGAACGTTTAATGTCAATTAAAGATAAATGACGAAGATTGATAAATTTAGATACATGTTCAGCTAACCATAATCCATTATCAATAGCTAATGTATCTGAGACACATAATGAAATAAGATGATTACAAATGTTTGGTTGTGATAAATATCTATAATACAATTCGATCACTACTATACTCATTCCATTGAAACACAAGTAAACGGGCATAAATGGCATGTTATTTATGATAGCAGCAAATTGTGAATTAAGATTAGAAAAAATATTGAATACTTCATGAAATGGGAAGTAAATAAATATTTCATAGAATAATTCGACGGCGAGATGTTCTAATGTTGTTGCCATAGTTTGTCTTAATATCATCATATTAAATGTTATGCATTATTCTTATACAATGACTTTATGAACAATAGCACAAAGAATTATTGTTCTTTTTGACGATAGTCACCTGCGTAAGACGATATTATTGTTACTATTCATCAACTTCATAAGTCAAAGTATATACAGTTTATCTTCCGTTTTTTTTTTCGATCATTTTTTTTTCCAATAGTGTGTTTATGTAAGATGACAATAAAAATTTATCCGATAGGCCATGAATTATTCTTTTTTCTTATATGAAGTGAAACTCATTTTTTTTTGATATCACATATATGACAATATTTTCAAAAAAAAAGCTGCATAAAAATTATGAATTATAATGAAAGAACTGATTACTTTTTTACAATTGTATGTCATCATTTGACTTCCGGTGATTATTTTTTCAATGCGTGAAATGTCAAAAAATATAAGACATCAAAATTCTATTAGTCTTCAATGAACTTTGAACATCAGTTAACCCTTTCAGAATGAGTGCTACATCATATATACCATAGCCGTTTTTATAACAATGAAGTGTATTATGTATTCACGATTAGAAATAGTTGCATACACGCTAGAGTGGGCTTATAGTAGTAATATGCATCTAATGTGACTTGCTTGATCATGCCCCATTTTTCTCTCTTTTCTATCATGCATTAATCTATCCGAGGGGGAAGAGGCGTACTCCTGTACTCCCGTAATCCCCTGCTCCATGGAATTCATATACTCCCACTATGCTTCTTGGATTCCGAGAGTACGAGAAGTATAGTGGGAGTAGTTTTATAACCAAGAAAAAAATAAACATAAATCCAAGAAGATAATGATGCGGTCGCCTACTTCACGTACTCCCATTGTACTCCTGTATTTACACGATCATCTTAGTATACCTCATGCATTTCCACTACATTCTTATTATACTTTCGTACCTTCACTGTACCCTCGTACTTTCGGAGTATGCCTTTTCTCCCTTGAATGGAATCACATGATAATTCCTGTACAGGAGAAAATAAATGTTTATAAAGTTTTTCATAAGAAGTTTATATTCAAAAATCCGTAGATTTTTATCTGATAATTAAATGATAGAAACCAACTGCAGCATTGTTTCAATGATTTGCACTTTTTCCAATCATATAAAGCATAATTTATTGAAGTAATTCACATGAAGTAATCTTTACTTGACGATCAAAACTATATAATGCTAAATCAACAATCCGAGGTCAAAAAAAAATATCTAAATTCAAATCAAAAAGTTTATTAAAGAGAAATCAAGATATTTTTTTATTACCAAGATGAGTCGTTGGTTTTAAATTATCAAATGAAACATTAAATGTTATATGATATTCATTATCTCATGTGATCGCTCCTTTGATTAAATAATTTGAAGTGTCATCAATCAAATAATGATTAACACGATTACCTAATGAGCCAAGATATTTTAAAATACGAAATTATACACGACGAATATCACTATCGGAAGAAAATCTATGGTAAAAAGGACGAATTTCTTCATATATGTTTGATCTGTTTTCGTGTTGGTAAAGCATGTTTATTTTTCGAATGACAACGTGTTTTTTCTCGTAAGGATGATACAACAGCACGAAAATTAACAATATCACCTAAAATATTCAATATTTGCATGTTTTTAAATCTTTTTCTTTTTTTGTTTCCTTCATCATGAGATAAACGAAGAAATTCATCCAGATAAAGTAAAATTTGATCATAAATAGATTAAACCAATATATAAAGCAAGCTAAAAATATTTCAAACATTATTCTTCATTCAAAGATTTTACTTGAATCGCGAGCACATAATCAGTAAAATCATAATCAATACATTCTGATGGTAATCAGATAATAAATTGTAAACATGATAGTACTAAATTATCTCGATATTGTTGTTGCTGAGAAAAGACTTCATGTGCAAATTATTGAACAAGTGCACAGACGGCTGCAACTTGTTCGTTTTCATTAATATCAGTTTCCATCATATAAATATTACTACGAGTTGTTGACACAGAACAATTAGACTAAAGAAGTTCAAAGATGAAAATGAAGAGTTTTATAATGATAAAATTGCTTTGCAATAATCAAGTTTTAGATAAATATTCATAACAAATGTTATATTCCACTAACTAATGGATATATAAAGAAAAATATTTCTTAGATAATTATTGATTAATTATGAATTACTTTGTGAATGCGATTATAATATCATATAAAAATGTTGATATCTATTTTTCAAATAATTCCGGTGATTTCACATGTAATAAATCTCTAAACAAAAACTTCACATCCTTTCGATAATCTTTTCAAATCTCTACTCATTATAAAATATTTGAAAATATTTTGGTTTCAATTGGTCTCATTTCTAAATACTGGATCATTCGCTATTGTTTCCTCCTTACTTTTATTTTATCTTTTTCTATATTTAAATCTAATCGATCAATAATATGTAAAAATTGAATCAATAATTACATTATAAAAAGAAACGAACATATTTTGTCGATCAAATATTGAATAAATATTTCTATAAAATTCATTTAATATTGTAACATTTAAAATTGTTTTTCATAGCGAAAGATAATTTTCATAAGCAATCGTTTTACCAATTAAAAGAAGTGATATACTTTTTCTTCAGATAGATCAGGTTCATAATTTTCTAATTCTTGTTTAATATTAGATTTTAATGGGTTTGAACAACAACGAATCAATGCGCTTTGTAACTGAAAAAAAAACAAAATGAAGAAGAGGAATAATCCAAAAATTCAATACCAATTCGATATAGAAATGGTTTATAAGAATTTAATTTTGTTCGTAAAGCTAAAATTATTTTAATTATAGATGAACATGTTGTTGCTTGTGGTTTAGATTGATAACATAGATAATAATCAATTGCCATCTAAGCTAAACGTTCAAATAGACCAAGAAATTCTTCATCAATTAAAGGGGAAAAAAAATGAAATCTTTACATTGGTCATTTCAATAATGATCGCTAAAATGCTTCAATTAAATTTGATAAATCATAAAATTTATCCATTGCTTGGGATAAAATATCATTGTTACCATCACAACGTTGAATAAGACTAACAAACATAAACTTCACATCTTCTTCTGCTCCATAAAGTTTCTAAGCCTAGAAAACAATCAATTTATCAAAATCTAAGAAAAAGATTCTCATCTTACATTTGCAAATATTCCATAACAACAAATTCCCATTGCTAAATATCGAATTTCTAATACCGGTGTATCGATTTTATCGTGAAATTCTTTTCTAAAATATTGAAAATTTTGTACCACTCGTCAGCGTTCTTCCGATGTTGAGATATTCATTTCTTTCAATATATTTACAACCTCAGATCAGCATAAAAACCAATTACTCAAATCAAATGAGTTTTTCTTTTTTTTTTGTTTTTTACTCCAAGTAAAAATGTCTAATAAGCACGTTGAGCTCCTTTTTTTACATCGTGCATTTCATGTTCGAATACATTGAGATATTTTTGAAGATTGCACTAGCAGCAATTAACATTTCAAATTTGACAACATTTTTAACTAACTAAAAATTTCTTCAAATAGATAATCAATCTGAAGGTTTTCTTGTTCATGGAAATATTGAAAATATTGACTAAGTAATAATGAATCAGTATATTTTCTCATATGTTCAAGAAAATATTTACATAATAAACCAAACAATGTCAAGCAAAAAGTCCTTTAACTAAATTTTGAAAAAGAAACAATTCTTAAACTCTCGTCAAAATTAATTCATTTGTTGCGATTGTCTTCGAACTTTGAAGACCAACTTGTTCTAAAAATGTCGTCGCCATTTTTTCTACTTCATTTGGCATCTAAGAAGAACCAACAGTTAATTCCATTAACTAAATCAATTGATTTTTTTTTATAAATCAAACTTAATCTCTTGAAAGATTTACTTGTAATAAAACAGGAAATATCGATACTTGTGTAATAATTGAACGTTCCATTTTTTTTATTCTTTGGAAAAATTACTTTAGTATTTAAACTTACCCGTTCGAGAAATGTGAGAATATTTTCTTGACTAGAAAATAAAGCTGATAAACACATCGCTCTTCAAAATAAGAAAATTTTTATTAGAATTTTTTTTCAGCTTTTTGTTCATCACTTATTTGCATAGGTGATGGATGTTTGAATTCAGAATAAGTTTAAGCAAGCTTGGTGATAATTGTCGATGATTGTTCATCAACATCAGATATATCATCAAGGCAATCGAGATTTTTCTGTAATTCACCATTATAATTATTCAACCACCCTTTTTAACAAAAAATAGTATTATTGATTGATTGATTGTGCAATAACATTGAAGAACGAATAAAAATTTTGTTGACAAACGCTTTGATATTTACTCTTCGAAAAAGTATAGAGGATAGAACTCAGTAAAAAATATTCTATTGAATTCGATTAATGTCTGAAGAAGATGAAATGAATTCTTCTTCAGAATAAGGACATCAAGAGATTCCTCTCATTCTTATGGATATGATAGTATGCGCATTCTGAAGAATTATCGAAAAATTTAAATGAAATATTTATTTAAAATCTACTTTCATTTTAATCATTCCAACTCATTTAACAGTTATTCGTTTTAAATTGTTTGGATAAAAGTCAATATATGTATAACTAATATAAATCAATTCAAACATTATTCAATTAAACAGAATTATTGAAATATCTCAATAAATAAATCTAGAGCAAATTTGATATTTTATTATTATATAGATAATATAATTATAAATAAGACATTGACAATATTACAATTGACATCACTCTTGTTTTATATAAATAAATATGAGTTTTCGTATGAGAATATCCTTAAATGTTTCTTTAAAATAAATTCTATGATTTTGTTTTTGAATCATTGTTTATAATAAATCATTATTTTCAATATTTGTTTTTTCCTCGTTTTCATTTCTATTAAGAGGATCTTTTACCACCTTTTTATCTTCTCGTGGTATACTTTGAGAACGTTTTAATAAAGATTTTTCATTATTTAATTGACGATCAGTCGACTAAAACAAAAAAAACATCAATGAAAAAAAGATAAACTCTCTATTGAAATATAATAGAAAGAAATTAATTATTCAATAATAGATTAAAGACTAATTCATATATAAGTCATTTAATAGTTATATTTGACATCGATAGTTTACCTTGATTATATCCTATGAAATATTCAACCAAAATCTATTTACATCTAAAATAAAACTCTTTTTATTTGACGATTAATCAGTTCATAACGATCAAATACAAGATAATTTATAAAGGTTAACATATGATAATAATAGTTATGAGATTGAAATAAATAGATCTCTTCTGAATAGACTATTGAATTTTCTATTATTTAACTGTTGCTATAGAATCTTATCGAATAATAATATCTTGTCAAGTTATTTAATTTATTGTAAAATAATAAAGAATAATTATATTTCATTCGTTATATCTGTTATATATAAACAAAACTAAAATCACTCGTTTATACATTATATTTAACTGGAATAATTTGAATATTTTCTCCTAAAATAAAATATTCAATAATCAACTAATGACTTAATTATATATTCTCTTGCTTCTGTCTCTTGAATTATTGCTATGCGAAAACATCAATATAGAATCGTTCTTCTATATTATTTCAATATAATATAGACATTTTCAACGATTAATTAACAAAGAAAGACAAATAATGATAAACTACTCTTTTATCTTGTTTATAATATAAGTTTACCAAGTGATAAATCGCATTTTAACCTAGTTGCATATACATATATAATTGTTAGGGTCTACTCAAGAAATATTAATTGTCGAATAGTTCGATCTGATAATCGATTCTTACTGATAGATGACATATAGACGTTAAACTTTGCTGTAATAAAGGCATCAATGAGACTATCATTTAGAGAAAAAAAAACCATTAAGAATTTTTCGAGAAAATTTCTCCGAGATATGATATTTTTCAAAAAATATCTATTTAGCAAGAGTTATTTTAACAAATATAAATCTTTTAAAGAATTTCATATTTCGAAACTTGAATCTTTTTTATTCTAAAGATTTTTCTCATAATTAATGAATTTTATCTGGATAAAATTTTCGATTAATTTTTTAAATGTATAATTTCGCTTAAAAAGTGAAGTTATGCAGAAAAGCTTCACTCCAAAGTCTATGTGTAATGTAAACAAGAAAAAAGAGAACATTATGAAATAACTAGCGGCGTAACTAGGGTTTTGGCGATGGTAGAGCTCAGCAACGCTTAAATATCCGGTGGTAGGGCTCAGGTTACTGAGGTCTGTGGGGTGGTAGGGCTTGTGAAAGGATTCAGCTGACGATGCTAACACCGGTGGTAGGGCTGAGCCCTCCCTGGCCCTACCTTGGTTACGCCACTAGAAATAACTGAAGATTATTAACGATGTCAATTATAAATGTTCTTTGATAAGTCTTCTTACTAATAGAGATGTCCATGGCGGCACCGCTGTGGCGGTCGCGGTCATTTTTCAACCGCGATGGACATCTTTATTAAAAAAAAAATCATATACGTATATTGATAATAAACTTGAAATAAATTGTTTTATTTACTTTAGAAATAAACCAATCAATATCATATTTAGCAATATTATCAAAATAGACTGAATTTTTAGCCCAATTATCTTTCCAATTTTCTCTATTAATATCAAGTTTTTGTTGTATAAGTCTTTTCATAATATTTGCATTTTCTTTTGAAACTTTTAATAATTCTTGTCGACGTTTTCCTTGATTAAGACTAATAAATAATATAAAAAAATATTTATAAATAAATAAAAATAAATCTAACCTTTTTAATTCATATTGATGATGACTATCAACAGATCCTTTTGTTTTCATAATATGTGATACTTTTTCTAATAATATACGATTATCACGTTCAATTATTGCTCGATGTTCTTCTTCCAACTATAATTTAAAAATCAAAATAACTATCAACTTAAACAAAACAAAATAATAATCATACTTGATATTTTTTATATTTCATATGAAGATGTAGAAAAGTTTGTGGAGGACGTGCATCAACACATGGTTGAGCATCACGTACCTAACAAATATATCCATAAAAGAATTTAATATATTAATTAATTAAATTATATTACCAATATTCGATGATCACTATAATATTTATCGTCCCATCTTTTTTTAAGAAATTTATTTGTTGCTGGACATGTTGATCGATATGATTTATGCATTAATTCTATTTTTATAATATACTAAAATAAATCTTATCATCAATTTAATTCTATCTATATTTAAATGTGAACATATATTCTATCAATAGATTCAATTCATAAAAAACAAAAAATTTCATATGTTTTTTATCGATGATATTAATAAAACAAACAGATAAATATGGAATTTCACCATTATACAAATAGTAACGTTGACAACTAATTAGTTAATCGTTGATGAAATATGGAAAATATTAATTTTTCACTATATTATCGAACGATAGATGACTCGACTTCTCAGTTAGAATAAATAAATCGAGTTTTCCTTCATTTTATTTTCTCAACAATTTGACAATGACGACAACAACAACAACATATCTTATTACATTATTATCATCATAAGAAAAAAAAAAGATTGTTTTACTTATTATTTATAATATATGTCGAACATAGTTCGATTATAAATATATATTTAAATAATTTTTTTTGAAATATTCATGAAGTAAATCAACCGATTTATTTAAATATTAATTATTTATAGCTATAAGATGATCAATGATACAAATTTCAATATAGAACAACAAGTAAACATAAATAATTCAAGAAAATAACATAATCTCAAAATGATTATTGTCCACTTCTAATTAACGTTCATTCACAGAACATCGTTGATCAGTGAATCTTTTTTTTTTCTTTGCATAGATTGATTATTGAATATTCAAATTCAACATTGAAAACTTTACCCATAGTTACAATTATATTTCGTTAGATCAATCTGATTTACGAACTAATATCTAGACAATGATTATTGACTATATCATGTAGAATACTCGTCTTTAATTTGTAAATAATCATTGTCTATATACTGAGTTTTTGTTTTGGTCATTTAGATTGATCTTGCCTATGGAAAAGATTTCAAATAATTGAATAGAAAAAGTTTCAAATGTTGGATTTAAGCGTTTTTGAATAAATATTTATTAAAATTTCAATATTGAATAATCGATCTATGATAAAAGATAAACTGATCGTAGATGTTGTGTTAACATTTTAATATTCAATAAACAAATAAAAATCTAATCTATTTTATTAATAAATAAGTTTATTTGAAAATAAATATACTATTGAATAAATTATTGTTGCTGTGTTTATTATTGTTAAATATAAATAATAAAAAATGTCTGATTAAATAATTTTTCTCATAGTTTATTTTCAATATTCATTGAATAAATTTTATTTAAATGATAATATTCAATGAAATATTAATTTTGACATATATTATCATTGATATTTAATAAAATCATTTACTTTTATATATTTATATTAGCTTAAATATTAGTTTTTATTATCTCAAATTATCGATCAATTTAATGAATACCAATCAAAATTGTCGAAGTTCTTTAAAAAAAATTTCGTGCTGACGATATTCATATTGATTAAAGTATAACAAGTTGAATAGAATAATTTATATTGAACAATCGTTCATCTTTATCAAGAATATAATTTATATACAAATAATCATTTTAAAAAAATCGATCAATATAACTGCAAAAGTCACTTTGTTTTATCTATAGAATAGATTATCTTCATTGATTTAATACTGATGATGTTTACTTATATAACATATATAGAAAATAATAATAAGTTTGATAAAAGAGTCAATTTGTAACATAGATGAGTATGTTTATTCTTCTTCTTCTAAAGAGAACAACGATATATCATATAGAGATTTATAAAAAAAAAAACCACAAATAAATATTTGAATAAATATAAGTATATCGATGAATTATTTTCAAGATAAATGATAAAGCAGCGTATTAATATAAACAATAGATAAAATATTTATTTTCGTTTTTTTTTTTTGAATTGATACAAATTTGTTTGTCTAGAGGAATAATAAGTCAATTAATTAAATTATCATTGAATAAATATCTAATCACAACTTTTTTTTTTATTCAATAATAAAATTTTGTTGTTATATTATAATGAAAAGAATATATTTATCGCTCTTGTTCGATTTATGTTTAATTATTTTATTAAATTGTTTAAATAAGAAGATTTATATCATTTTATTTATAAATAAATTAAATGATTGATTGATTGATTATGATAAATATTTAAAAAGAAAAAGAAAAACGAAGGCGAATAATTAGTTAATTAATATTATTATAAAAAGAGAAATAATTAATTTATATTGATTTAAATAAACAAATATGAAAACAAATAATGATATTTATTTCGAATTTTATTTTGCATAGGCAATTATTTGCTTTTTTACGCTTCTTTTTTTCTTTCATTCAAAAAAAAAAAAAAAAAAAACTTCAAACTTGAAAGTGAAGGTGATAGAATCAAAATGATAACAGATTAATATAAACAAGACGAAAAAAAGAAAAAAAACAAAGGTAGACAAAAGAAAAAGCTATATACTTATTCAAGTTAGTTTTAAATATAATCTATAGAAATTGAATCACTTTTAATTATAATAGATTATTGAAATAAAATGATAATTACAACAAAAAAAAAAAAATTTTCAATAATCTCATATTATTTGATTATTCGATAAAAAAAACAATATATGTTTTAACAGGTTTGAGGACAAGAAAAAAAAAACACCATCATTATAATATACACCGGATTAACATTTAAATAAAACATTCAAGGAATATATTGACAACTAACAATAAACATACTAAACATATACAAACAGACGGTTTATTTAACATTATTATTTTGAAATTAACAAAAATTTTATATATTGACCTAAACACTTTCAAAATAAATAATTTTTTTTTTTTTATTTAACGGCATTTGCTGTTTCTTCGAACTAAAATAAAACAAATTTATTTTTAATATTCTTTCGAATTCATTTTCATACCATAATATATATAGACAACATCAAGAGACAATCATACAACATAAATAATATATCTTACGTGTAATCTTTGCATTATATTTAAATATGCTTGACAATTAAGATCTTTATCTTGAACACCTTGTAATTCAAAACTTCCATGAGTTTTCTATTATTAATATTAATATATATACATTGAATTAAAAAAATAAAAATATTAAATATTATTACTTTAACAATTAATAATAAACAAGCTAATTGATATGGATGAAGACTTATTTCTGCTCTTTCACCAAGCCATATAAATATAAAATTTGTTTGTTGTTTATACCATTCCTATATTAAATAAATAATTATTTGAAACAATAAAAACAAAAAAAACACGAATTGAATTAATATTAACTTCAAATAAATTTAATGTAAATATTTCATCAGTTATTCTTTGACGTAATTGTTCTAAATTAGCATTAACACATGATACATATGATTGACCATCTTCATTTATTGGTTTCTATTTATTATTAATAAATATATTAAATTAAATAAAATAAAATAAAATAATATTATTTATTTAACTGTTAATGAAAGTATTTGAGCAAAAAAAGATCCTTCATCATAACGTGATAATTTTTTTAAAACTGAATCAAGTACACTAACTAATTTTTGTATTAATGATTTTGACATATCACTTAAGATTTTTTCTAAATATTCATCAATACGTGTATGATATTGATGAAGATCACCACTATTTAATGCACATAATTTTAAAGCCTACAATTTTATACAATCAAATTAAGAAAAATATCGGTTTTTTTGTCTTCAAAATATTTATTTTATAAATGATTTACTTGAGATTTACAATCGAGTATAACATTAACCATAACACAACATTCCGATGGTAATAAATAATCTGAACTAGTACCACCAATAAGACCACCTTTTTTTATCCAGATTTCAAAATGACGCCATACTCTAAAATATTTATCAAATCATTCAGTTTTGTTTTTTAAATAAATTCAATCATATTCAATATCGATACTATTTGGTTACGGAGTCCACATCTATGCGTGTTGGGATTTTGATTGGACTACTTCTCTTACAGTTTTGACTTTTTCGCTTGAGTAGAGTTCTGCAGGAACATCATTTGTCATACTGCACTCTATACGATGATTTTTTGCAATTTTCTCCTATTCTATCCTTCAGGAGTTGTAATTAGTGGTGTAACCAGAGCATCCTATAGTGCGCCATATGATTTTCTCCTGAGACAAAATGTCTTCACACATAAAGCAGAAAGTATTTATTCCTGAAGCAAAATGCTTCATTTCTGTAGGTATCGCCTCAAAAGGCATCACAATGATTAACCTCATCCTCTTCTATTTTGATTGTATCCTAAGCCACCTCAAGGTAGAATAGAGTAGAGTTACCCTAGAGGACTCTACTGTTTAGCTACGTCCTAAAAGTGCTTTCATATGATCATAATGACAGCGCCATTGTGTATCACTATGACACATTTATACGCCCTATTTTAAACTTTTTCATAAAAAACAAAAATTTTTGTTGTTGATAGAAAAAACCTCATAATCAAAGGGTTAATTAAATTCTCACAAATATTAAGTACAATTGTATATTTATTCTTATCTTTAAAAATAATAAAAAAATTTAATAAGTTACATCAATTTTCGATATAAAATGTCATTTAAGATAATGTATAGATCGATATTCGAATATGATTATTTATATTGAATAGTTTAATAAAAATTAATTTTATCTATTTTATTTTTAATTAATAATCATTAAGTTAAATGAATAGTCTTTAATTAGTAATAGTTTATTATTTTAATATAGAATTCAATTTAAAATAAAATAAACAAAAAAAAAAAGTCAATTAGGGTTTTCTTCTTAACTCATATAATTAATAACTATTTTATAAATATAATACAATTTTGTTTTAATCAATCTATATTCAAATTATAATATATTTATAAGTTTTAATATTTTAAACACGAATTATCTTATAAGTTATAAAAACTATAAATAAATATATTTGTATTATATCCTTTTCTCAATAAATATTTAAATATTGTAATACCTTTTTCCACAAGCTTCAATCATATCTGATGCCATTTGTTTAAGTCTCTTTTCTAAATGTTCAGCAAAAATAGCATCTGGCTAA